AAAAGGCCCAGGAAGCACAGAGCAGTGGCACATGCCTGTAGTACCAGTACTCTGGGAAGCTGAGGCAGGAGGACTGCAAGTTTGAGTCCAGCCTGGGCAACTAGTGACTTAGTAAGACCATGTCTCAAAAAGAAAAAATAAAAGGTCTGGGTAATTAGCTCAGTACAAAGGCTTTGGGTTGAATTCCCAACACTGAAAAAAAAATCATTAATCCATCAAATAAACATATGCTAATGTATAGTAATAGGACTGTTATATGGTTATACTGTTGTAGGACTTAGTTATGTGAAACAATGAAGTTAGAATTTTGTTTTGTTTTGTTTAGTTTTTGGTTTCTTGAGACAGGGTCTCACTTTGTAGTTCAGGCTGGCCCTGAACTCACTATGTAGCCCAGGCTGGCCTCGAGCTTGAGGCAATCCTCCTGCCTCTGCCTCCCAAGTGCTGGGATTACAGGCGTGCACCACCATGCCTGGCAATAAAGTTAGAATTTTAAAATAAACAAGTATATTTAAAATAAAAACCAATGTGCAAAGTGGGAAGTGAGAGTCAAGTTTCAAATTCTAGCAGCTCCTCTCTGTGCCAAGGGCTATCATAACAACTTTTTGTTCCTCAAACATGCCAGATGCACTCCTTTCTCAGAGTCATGCACTCTTTTGCCCTGGGACTTTCACGCCATCATTTATTTTGCTCGCTCCCTTGCTTCTACCAATTCCCTGCTCAGGGCTCTACTGGCCCTTCTGTCACCATCGCCCCATAGGCAGGGATTTCTCACTGTCACCACCACGGCCCTTCCAGCCCCTTATTTTTCTGTACTGCTTCTCACCATCCAACATACTCCGTATATCTGCTAGTTTGCCCACTTCTTTCGTTCTCTCCTACTCTAACAGAAGCTCCACAGTAACTTTGTTTTGTTTCTTGCTGTGTGGTACCAGGAAGAATAAATAAGTGCATCATATTTCCAGAAAACACTCCTTGTAAGAACATAGTTTGGAGAGTGAGAGAACGGGGTGGGTACCCGAGTAAACACATATTGCCCAACTGGCAGCCCCGTCTACCTTTTCCTGATAGTGTTTTCCGTAGGTTTTTTTCCAGAGATGCCAGTGGTAATCCAGC